TACAAAGCCTTATTGGCCATACTGCATACACGTTATTGAAAATACTCAACCATCCTCTACACTTTACTACCGCCCAGTACGATTTCATTTTGTAAAAGAAAGTTTTGAGGTTATTACACAAAAATATATTTTCTTTAAGAACAGTAAATTGAAATCAACGACCTTTAATTCCTTTGTTATCAAACATAAGTTAGAATGCACAATGGTTGATGAAAAAAAGGCTATTGCAGTTTCGCCTTCAAGTAGTTCCTTTCCAGTATGTGAACAATCTAAATGCTGTTTTTTCAAAAATCTATAATACAGTTTTTACTGACCTTGGATTGAGCACATTACATGCATGGATTAAGTGCTTTGAATGCTGCCTTCATATATATATTTTTTCTTTCTCTGTTTACATAACATCAGGTTTTTACAATTTCCACTACATAACATAAAATTTAAAAAAATAAGTAAAACAGATAGGGGCTTAAAGAAGATGAGGATGACAGAACATCATTGCAATCTTTTCATAGAACCCCTTTAACAAGATTTAATTAAAATATCATAATACGACATACAAAATAAAAATTTCAATAAAATATCATAACAAAATGCGTAATCTGCTTATAAAATTTGTCAGGCAACAAACAAAAGTATAAACAAAACAAAAACGTATTTAAGAGAATTTATCCAAAGCATTATTAACAAAAAATGTTTCACAGGTTTTAAAAATTTCTTTTTTTGTTAAAAACTTGAATGAACTTAACGAACTCACCGTACTTTTAAACCCTTTTTGAAAAATACTCCATACTTTTGGACTTCGATATAAAATGCTGTATTCTGAATATTTATATAATTATCCTAAGCAGTTTGCGTTCAATAAGTTAGAGAATTGAATAGGAAAATGGCAAATTAGAGGAGAGGATGATAAAAAATTGTTACAAAAAAAAAAGATTTTTTGTTTAACAAAAGATGAAAGATCATTAAAGGGGGTATAACACGTCACAAATATTTTAATTAATTAATGCTTCGAATATGGGAAAACAACCAAAAGTTATGTCAAATATCTCTAACGCCTTATACACCCTTTTCTATTAGGGTGTTTAGGGTGCCTGCATCTGCAAAAAAAAAAAAAAGTGACTTCAGTCTTCATGAAGATTTAAAAACAAAAAAAAAAATCTTTATGATGCCTAGAGTCACTGATAAAAATTTCAATTTTACAACTTTAAAAATAAAGGAGTTGTGTTTTTTTGTCCATTTTATTTCGATGTTGGCCCACTGTGCTATGGCGAGAAATAAATAAAAAGCTTATTTTTGATAAATCGAAATATAATAGGTTTCTTTATTCTAAAAAGTTTTAATTTTTATCAGTGACTGATTTATATATATTTTTTAGTTTTTAAAGCTTGTTTATACTTATTTTTTTCAGATTTTGTTGATAATAAGTAAAAAGTTAATAAACGGGAGGTGAGGGGGGGGGAGAGGGGTCATAAAAAGCTTGGAGTGGGTGAGAAATTTTTCAGGAAAATAATAAATGTCACCTCCGATGTATTAGGCAGCGAGAGTTGGTGTTTATAATAGGTTCAAATTTTAATTTTGGAAGCAAACTTTATTTTGAAAAGTTTATTATGATTTCTGGTATATTTACTCTTTAAGTTGTTTAACCATGGTTGTTTAACCATAAATAAAAATTTAATTTTTTCAGAATATCAAAATCAAAATCACAATGCAAATTTCAAATCATCTTAAATGCACCGACAAGTTATTCGTGGAATCAGAAAAAAAAAGATGATGCACAGAGTAATAACTTTTTTATTATTCTGTGCATCATCTTTTTTTTTCTGATTCCACGAATAAACCCGAACACGATAAACACGAATGAACCCGAACCAGATTGATATAAGCAACCTTTTGTTGCTTATATCAATCTGGTTCGGGTTCATACGGATAAAAGCTTATAAATTGAGTATTTGTCATGAATTGTTATAATTTGTCATCCTATCTAATTAACCTTATGTCTATTACAAACTCTTGATTTAAAATATTAATTCAAAATGTTCTTATGCTTTAGACTAATAGTTCTAACTTTTCAATTTTTTCCTTAAACCAAGTCCGCGTACGTGAACTTGATTGATATGATTTTATTATATCCTAATATAAATATATATTATTATAAATATAATATAAATATATATTATTAAAAAAAAAAAAAAAATCAGCTGCATATATAATTATTCAAACCAACTTTAAAACTCCCAAAATATACCTGTTATGTTATCAAAAATACTACTAATATTTGTTTACATGTTTACTCTATATTTGTTTTGTGTTTATAAATACATGTTTAAAAACATTTTTTTTCCTTATACAATCGTACTTGACATTCGAACAACGAATCCATTCATAAAATTCTTTAATAAAATCAATGTCGTCGTGAAGTTCAAGATGTAATTTTTCACAAAGATTAATCCACGGAAGAAAATTTTCTTCAAAATCTTTTTTTGTTATTAAATAATCTGAGATCAATATCTCTAACACTTCAATCTTATCTTTCGGTTTCCATCCTATTAACATGAAATCTATAAAAGTTTCTTGCTCATCTTGTTGCTTCACTTGTTACTGCACAGTAAGTGATCGTCCATAAAATATGCAACGCTAAATTTTTTTAAAAAACATAAGTAGGAGATACTTAGCACTTCTACGCGGTGATTTATATTAAACTTTATGCGCTATTTTGACTTTTTATATATCTTAAAGATTTGCAAGGTAAAACTTTAGATCTTTTTTGTTTTTTTTTATTAGTGAAATTTAGCGTTGCCTAATTTATGGACAACCCCTAACCTGATTAAACTATTATTTCTTATTATGGAGCACAATTTTTTTATGAATAGTTAATTATAATGTAAAATTTAATGTGTTAGTCAAAAAAATTGCAATGAGTTAAATATATAAATAAATGTCACATTAACAACACATCATCAATTTTTTATTAGATATTATTTTAGGAATGATTAAGAAACATGTCAATAAATAACATTTTACACTGTTTATCTTTATTACACGCTTTTCTTTTATGGTTATAAACTGGACCTTAGAACATTTATCTTAAAAGATACATTTGGACTCTTATTAAAAAAAAAAGATTTAAAAAAAAAAAAAACATTTTAAAAATAAAAAACTTATTATTCTAATTTTAACACTTATAGAAACTTTTATTACTTCTTCTCGTGAAATAAACTGTTTCAACCACTTCTTGTGATACAAACTGTTTCAAAATAAGTTACAAACATTTCTCGTCATACAAACTGTTTCAAAATAAATTACAACCAATTCTTCTCGTAATACAAACTGTTTCAAAAAAATTTTTTAAAGTTACGTAGAACATTTTTAAAAAGTTATTTATAAAATGGTGTGAGCATTTTTAAAAAGTTATTTATAAAATGGTGAAAGCATTTTTTTAAAAGCTAGCTACAAAATGGAGGAAGCCTTTTGAGCTATGTTGGATTGTATTTATTTTGATTAGCTAATCAACAGAAATTGAGTATATAAAACACAGTTTCCAACCACGGAACCTCTATTGTTAAATATTTATTTCTTAATTATTGTGTTTACAATACAATACTATATACGTGACTATTCTACTCTTTATTTTATTTATATTATCTATAATATTACTTATTTTCTAGCTATTTCATTTTCTATTTATTTAAACTTCTGTTTATACTATATTTGACAGTACTGAAATTTATTCTCCTCCAGCTATTCAATTTGAATGACAGTTTAAACTCAAGAGCATCATAACCCCGATCAAGAGTGAACTTTCAGAAAAAAAGAGGATTTTGGAAAAGTTGACTTAACTAAAAAGTATAGAAAAAAACAGACAGACGTTTTAAGGAATAAAGACATTTACAACAATATTGTGTAAATATATTAGACATTATGGTTTATCTTCACCGGCGAATTGCTATACAAAGGCAACATACCAAGGTTCTCATCAGACAAAGATTGAGTGAGTCTGTATATGAAAAGAAATAAATTTAATAATAAAAATGAATTGAGTTAGAAAAAAGAAAAAAAAATCAACAGTTATCAACGCAAAATAAATCATATCTGTTCTATTAGGCCAATTAAAACAAACTAAGTTCAGTCCAACTGTTAAATTAAAGCAGTTGTGTTATTTAACGCAATATTTGGTTGACTCAACTACAAATCCAATGCCATTGCGCTAACTAACTTAAAATAAGACTGACCCAACTGCGCCAAAAGCGGCTAGACAATTATTAACCGGACTATATCAGAAAGTTATTGGTTTGTTTTTTTGTTTGTTTTTTAGGTTATTTAGGTGCTCCTAGAAGTCCTTACGGTCTTATCACGGAGCACCGCCTGAGAGTATTCAACAACTGAGAGTATTCAACTAAAGGTTCACACCTCCCTCCTTACAAATGTCGTTTATTGGGCTGGAGCCGGCGTCGAACCTCGGACCTGTGGGTTCTGAGCCAGAACTCTAACCACTGCGCCACGGCTGCTCAGTTATAGCGGCTGCTACTAATGGTCCACTAAGTACCCGGTGTTCAAAACTGCAATGAACCGCTAAAAAATGTAGATAGAGGTGCACTTCAAATCTAAAAAGACAATGTTTGCTGGGTTGTGTCACTCACAGAAAAAAAATCAAAACTTCTTTTTCAAACTTTAGAACTTTTTGTTCTGTTTTGCATGTTCCATAGTAGAACACAAACACATTTAATTTTTATTTTTATCTTTATGTGAAAATTTTTTTAATAAAAAATTTTCACATAAAGATAAAAATAAAAATTAAATGTGTTTGTGTTCTACTATGGAACATGCAAAACAGAACAAAAAATTCTTAGTACTACTTAAAAGATTTCAATTAGCCTTATTAAAACGGAACTTGTCATAATGTTAAAACGGAACTTGTCATAATGTTAATTAACAATATTATTATTCCAGTAGTTGTAATTAATATTCATTTATTATTTTAGTTTTATTTAACTTTATTTTAGCCATGGCAACGTGTCATAACTTGTCAATTATTGATGAACAAATTTCAGGAGATCCAATTGATATGTACATGTTCAATTTTACTGGATGTAAATTGTACGACTCAAGCTTAGAAGATTTGTCAAGGTATGAAAATATTCCAGAAAAGTACAAGCAACATGTCAAATATTTTGTCACATTACAAACAAATGCTAAATTGATTTCTGTTTTAAAACATTTCACATTTGACTCTGCGTTGCAAAGAATGAGTGTAATAACAATTGATGATCTTAATGAGTTGCTTCATGTCTATGTAAAAGGATCTATCGACAAAATATTGTCTATGTGTATTAAAACTAGTATTCCAACAGATATAAAAAAAGAAATTGAAAAATATACTTTAGTTGGTAAACGTGTATTAGCTGTAGCCAACAAAGATCTAACTAACGTAAATAACTGGAATGATGTGAACAAAATTCCTAGAGAGGAGATTGAATCAAATCTTTTATTTTCTGGTATAATTGTTTTTGAAAACGTTGTTAAACCAGGCACACATGAGACCATAAAAATGCTTTCACAAGCAAATATAAAAACAATAATGGCAACAGGTGATGACCTTTTGACTGCAGCATTCATTGCAAGAGATGTTAACATGGTAAAACCGAATCAAGAACTTATAGAGCTATCTATTTCTGATGGAAATGAAGTGTACAGAAAAATTGAAAACCCTGAAAAAGAAAAATTCATCGAGGAAAAAAAAGAAAACAGTGTGGTTGAAATAGATCATTCGTTAGAATACGACATGCAAAGTGCAGGAAACAAATTAAAATTTTCTTTTGCTCTTACCGGAGTTACATACCAGACTATTCATCATGAACTACCTCACCTACTTCATAAAATTTTGGTCAGTGGAATAGTTTTTGCAAGAATGTCTCCAAACCAAAAAACAATGCTGGTTGAAGATTTGCAAAAAATTGGTTACGGTGTAGGAATGTGTGGTGATGGAGCTAACGACTGTGGTGCATTAAAAGCTGCTCATGCTGGTATGTTATTTTCTGGTATACTATTTTTTGATAATAATAATTCAAAAAAATATAATGTAAAAATTTTTAAACACTTTTTTAGGTATTGCCTTATCTACGGCGGAAGCATCAATTGCAGCACCGTTTACTTCAAAAGTGTTTAACATATCCTGTGTTCCCATTCTTATAATGGAAGGGCGTGCAGCACTTGCGACAGCGTTTGGAACATTTAAGTACATGATACTTTACTCGATGATTCAGTTTTTGGGTATCATCATTCTTTACTCGGTTTCATCATCTTATTCTAATAATCAGTTTATATACTCAGATTTAGGACTCAATCTCCCACTAGTATTTTCAATGACGTTATCTGGTGCCAGTAACAAACTGATTATCAAGCGACCATTAGGAAAATTAGTACATCCACTTTTCATTAGTGGAATTGTCTTACAAGTCCTTTTTGTTTTAGCTTTTCAACTTATTGCTTTTTTTTGCATTAAAAAAATGCCTTGGTACTTGGACCAATCTAATTTTTCTGCAGAAGATGATATATTCTTTAAATGCTATGAGAATAGCGCTGTTGTTGTTGTTTCTTACTATTTGTATATCTGGTTATCTTTAGCTAGTTTAAAAGGCGCACCATATCGAGCGTCTTTTTACCACAATTACGTTTACACCATAGTTCTTTCACTAACAATAGCAATTACTCTTTATTTGACAATTTATCCAGAAAGAAGTATCTTGAATGTAATGAGTTTTATTGAATCGCCATCTGCTGAATATCCAATATTTTTAATTGGAATTGCCTTGTGTCATTTGATATTGGCTCTGATGCTGGAAAAATTGTTGGAATCGAGGCATGCAAAAACATTTATTGATTGGATTAGAATGAAGAAAGAGCCTAGAAACAAATACAAGCATATTTTGAAAGAACTTTGCGAAAACCAGAGTTGGCCTCCAAAAGAGCAAACAACTTTTTTTTAAAAGTACAAAACAAAAAATACTATTTATGCTAATTAAGAAAAATAAAATATTTGCATCACAATTTACTAAAAAGTATACTTATTAAAATCATAATTTTTCAAACTTTTTTTTTTTCATTCTATTCTTTTGGATTACATGAGGTAGCTGATACAATTTTACAGTAGTGGTTACAGTTTTACAGTTGTAATTACAAATTTTTTATAGAAAAGATGTCTCAACTCTCTTTAGTCTGCAACTTGTTCCGGATTGGTTTATAAAATTTATTGGTAACCGCAAGATTAGAAGTGAAGTTTGGATATGTTATAAACTAGTATGTTGCATATTTAATTCCACATTAACTTCCATACACAAGTAAAGCGTTACTTTCTAATTTAAATATTTTAACATTTATAATACAGTAATAATTCACTCTAAAACTAGATTACAGAGTAATTTTAAACAACCTTAAAACGTAGTTATTTTTTATTTAGTATCATCTATTTGCCCTCGTATTTAACCTATGCATAGTTGCCAATAAGTAAACTGCTTTAACTAAATCCAAAGTTATTGTAGTATTTCTTTTTACGGATAAATACTTATACTAATGCCACTGTGCCATAAAGACCGTTCAACTTGTCCCTACCTCTAATTTTTTTCTTTTTTAAAATAAATGTTGCTTAAGTATTTTTTTTTTGTATTGGATAAACCTAAAGAAAATCACAAGTACTACTACTACTACAAAAAAAAAAAAAATAAACCCCATTTACCCCTTAAATTGATAAAGTTATCCCCTGAAAAGATATAAGCCCTTCGATTATTTTTTTCAAAATTAATATCTTTTAGTATTCTCTTTAAAGTTTTTTTAATATAACCTATAACTTTAAACGTAAAATGAGTCAAACTTCCAATACGTGTCTTTTGTAGCAAAATACAAAGCAAAAAATAACAAGAAGGGAAAAAAACAAAAAATGCAACAAAAATAATAACACAACTATTTATATATTGCACTGGCAGTGGCAGATTTCAATTGTTTATTATCTGTTTGCCTAACCCTTCGTTTATATCGAGACCAACTTGGTTTAAAGGCACTGTTAATAACCTCTCCAATTTGTTCAGCATACGATCCTAGAGAAAAATAATTAATTGCACAAATAGGAAAATATGGTAAGCAAATATATGCACTTTCCATGTAATATTCAGCTCTGCATTTATTTGTATTTTTGCATTTTATATGATCTTCAGCATACTGCTGAAGGTTATATAAAATGATATTTTAAACTCTTTAGTAACTAAAGAAACATTGCTGCCTAATTAAGTCTTAATTATAGTCCTTTAACCTTTAAAAATATTCTGAGACAATAAACAATTGGTACTAAATTAGTTTGAGATGCAATTTTTTCAAAAACTTATGTCTCATAATTGCTATCCCAAGATAATCTCGAAGTAAAATAAGTTCATCAACAATCGGCTTAACCACCGGCCGATTAGTTGGTTAATCTGCATCGGCCAAAGGATCGGCTTTGGCTAATAAACCGAATCAAACTGGTGCATAGGAGCGCCTTATGCAAATTGTTTACCTAATAATAATACATTACCTTTTATATACATACATTAAATCCTATCATAAGCCTCAATCGACCTCAATCGACTAATAACTAATAGTGATGCCATCGCATCACTATTAGTTATAATGGTTTAAATTTTATTTTAACAACTTTGAAATAAAAATTAAAACTCAGCTTCTCTGTAAATATTTGAAAGAATTCTCAATGTCTTCTTGCACCATTTTGTTTTTAATTATACCTGAAGCAACTTGCTTGCATAATGTGGGATCAAAGTTTTCTGACAAATTTATTAGGTTCAAAACAGCCTGACTAAAATAACAATTGTTATGACCTCCTGAAAAATGAAGTTAACTCTTAAATAATTTAAAATTATTAAGCTTAAAAATTAAGAATTATTATTTTTATTGTTCGAAAGTGTTATTTAATGGCCGATTCTTTATCCAATGCTTGAGTAATATATGCCAATGGCATAGAAAATAGATATATTAGGAGTTAAATTTAATAAAAATATTGGCTCCTTTAATATCAAAACCTTTGGTTCCTTAAAGGTTCTTTTTATTTTTAACTATAAAGTTTGAGTCTTCATTATTATTTTAAACATGTTAGCCATAGATTGCAAATTCCTGATAAAGCAGACTTCCCATTTCTTTTCTTTTCTAAGGTGTCAAACCTTAGTTCGTATAAAAGATTTGCAGAAAGAGCGTTCGTAGGTTTTCGACAGATGAATCGAGCACACTGTTTTTGTATTATGTCAATTTTCTTTAGCTGTGCTTTAAATAGTCCATGGTATAATGTGCTGGCATATTCTAATTGGCTACGTATAAATCCTTTGTACGGTACATTTAACAGTTCCGTTAGAATCCTGACAGATGCTCGAGCTAATATTCCCATAGCTGAGTGGCATTTTTTAATAGATAAATCAATTTGTTTTTTGAAATTGGAGATGCTAATCAACAGTGACCCCTAACATGAATTACTGGTTGAATCCCAATATTTCAATTTTAATATGTAAGTTGTCAGGAAATTTTTTTCTCGATGATTTGATTACTATTAGATATATCGCAGATATATCGGAAGGAAGTTATTCTGATTTTTGCAGAAAATAAAAGAAGAGAATTATTAATTCGTGTCTAACCTAGTGCCTTGATATTCGACGGTTTTAAAAGTATTACGTATATAGCACAAAATACATGTGACCTAAACTTATTTTAATAAATATTAGAATGTTTTAAATCAAAAAACGATATTAAAAAAAAAACGACACAGCTCTTACTAAACTAAAACTTTATTTTGAAAGTAAGATCAAAATATCTTTACACAATGTGAATAACGAAAAGAAATAGCGTGTTTTTAAGTACTTTTGAAAACATTTAAATTGTTTGAAACTTTTTTTTTTTAAGAAATTCGATTTTTTCCACATGGAATTACAATTTTATACAGTATAGAAATATAGTATAAAATAAAAAATACTTGATTTCGTACCTGAAATGTACTTAGCAACTACGTTGATCAATATATGTCAATAAATTGATTTACAAAAATAACTTTAAATTTGTGCTAGAAGAATTTGATTCTTTGAATCATATAAACGATAAAAATGTTAAAACAGATTATTCTGGCATCTACATGCAAAAACAGTATATGATTTCACAAAGTTTTAGAATAAATTGATCAAATATCTTAATAAATTAAAAATAACGTAACCATATTTTTAAATATTACTCGTGTCGTAGTTGTATTAGTAGTTATAGTTAATTGCTACTACAACATGTAAATTAAAAATAATTAAAAGTAAATAAAAAACTTTAAAAACTGCATATATCTTTTATCGATAACCTTGATATAATGAATAACTGATGACAGTAAGAAATAAACAACTACTAAGTGAGAAAAAAAATCATCATGCCAACAACAAAAAAAAGAGCAAGCAATAGTTGACCTAATTTAGCCAGTACACCTTTTCACAGTTCCGATAAAAAATTTATGCGCGCGCAGAAATGGAAGTAAAAACGTAAACAAACATTATTTCAACGGTTTAAGTTATAAAGATTTATAATGGAAAAAAATGTAAATACTGAACATATACCTTTAACTATACCTATAGAAGTTTCAAGAGATCGAAAACATGAGCTCTAATCGATTGTAAAAATAACGAGGACAATCTAGAAATGTGGAAAGATGATTTATGTATGATACAAAATGTTAAACGAAGCTCTAAACGAAGCTCTAGGTGTTGTCAAGCCACCCAGATGGATTTCTTAAAATATCTAAGGCCTTGTCTATAGACTGTATTGACAATTTAGAATAAAACTTACTGACAACAGAAATTACACAAAAAACTTAAGAAAACTTTAAACTTGTATAGCCCTTTCTTTCAACAATACTATCATTAATAAACAGCTTTCTTCCAAACTTAACCATTACCAATTAAAATAGCACAAGTATAAACTTTGAAACCTTTTTAGATCTTGCATAGCAAATTATGCCTTGATGATTGGTTTGAGCGAAATAAGCAAGCTTTATCAAATGTTTGATTTCAAACGAAGAGAGAAAAAGTTCATTTAAACTATTAGCAAACCCTCTACATTGATCTCAAAGAGATATTTGAAAAGTACCAAATCTATAAAATAAAGTAACAACATAAACCTTTCAATATAATATATTTTTACCTTTTAATATAATTTATTTTAACCTTTCAATATAATAAATCGACTTTAGAAAATATATTAATCAATTTAGTCGACAGTCAAATTATTTTATATTTGTAAAACACTAGTAAATATTATTTACAAGTGTTTTTACGAATATAAAATAATTTGACTGTCGACTAAATTGATTAATATATATTTTAAAGTATTTTCGACTAAAATCGACTAGAATACATGTTTAAAGTGTAATACAATCTTGCAACGTCTCTGCATGAAAGTATTTATGAAAATCACAACCATCGAGTAAACAAAGAAAAAAAATTAATGAAATAAATAATCGAAAATTAACATGTTAACATAGTATGAATTAGATAAAACTTTAAGAGAGTAAACAAAAACCAAGGTAACAGTTATAATAGTTACTTCAATGATCACTAACTTTAATAATATACTTGTTTGCAAGTATTGTTAAGTTGAGGGGCCCAATTAAGTCGATACCTAAAAATATTATCTAGCTCATTAAATTTGATTAGCTTTAATTTTGGAGCAACAGTTCTTACTTTCTCCATGTATTGGTACTTAAAACACAAACATGAACATAATAAACAAAAAAGGTTAAGTAATTGCAGTTAGCTGCATAACTTTTAACTTCAAAAGTTGTAATAAAATTCGAATAAATATAAAGCACATTTATTACTAATATTGCATAATAACAGTTTTTTTTTTTTTTTGCTATACTATATTAGGTATATATATGCGGATTAAAAACTTTAAACTGAATAAAATAACAAACAGTTGTACGTCATTAGAAAGAACCTTAATACAGTATTTTAATGGTAAAAAAAAATTATAAAAAATTAAACAACAAAAAGTTTTTAAGCACCAAATTTTTGATATATGTTGAAAAAACTGTGTTCAAAATTTAGTTTTTATTTATCTAAGTTGTTATAAACTTTTTCAATTCTTATCTAAACACATATAACTTGGTATCAAAAGATAGATGTAACATTAGACTACAAATTTATATTGGTTTCT